TGTTATATGCAGTTCCATGAAACAATCTTCAATTTATTGAAATGATTAACAAAATGGAAAGTGTGATTACTAAACTACAAAATGAAAAATAACACAGTCAACTTGATGTAAACAATTGAGAAGCTGTTGTGAGGACTATGGATAAACTCTATTCCTTCTGTAGAAACATATCCAAATGCCACAGACAATGCCCATAATAAGAAAAGATATAACCAATGATACAACGATGTACACGTATTGTGATGATTTATTTTCTCCAAAGTCTTCAGTTGTATCTGTGGTCATTTTCTAAAATGAACGAAATATTATAATGATTACAATGTGTTTCCGCGTTTCCACTAGTCTTCTTCAATTCATTTCTTAGATTATTTTTAGTAGTTGCTATATCAATGAATAATAACTTAGGATATTTTCTTCTGATTTGACGGTCAACTAACTGACAACTAATTCGTATGATGAAATTAGTTTACCAGATGGTTCAGATTATCACACTGTAAATAATCAATAACAAACTGGTAACAGACGACTTTATTGAAGCAATCCATCCAGAATACAAATTTCTCAACAGAGTATCAGGAATATCTATTGTGAAATTCAACAATGTGATTCCATGAACCTTCACTTTCCAAACATGATGCAGAATTTATAACAGATTATGCTTCATCATTCAAACGAATCTCATCAGTATTTTATAACACTTCACACATAAAGATGTTTTCATATTGGACATCCAGAATCACTACACATTCTATGAGAATAGAATTACCATTTTTCCAAGCATAAGTGTTAACCGACGCTTTTATTGATTGTTGAATGTCCACATGGAAACATAACAGCGTACACAAATCTGATTAAGCATCATCAACGTATGCAAAACACTACTTGTTTGCAACAAAGAACGTCCTTCCGAGTAAATGGATTTACAACGTAGAATATGGTAATATTGAAACAATCTGTGAAGTCTATCAATTACTTACTTTAACCTTGCAACCATTTATTTTGAATTCATGAAGATCCTTATCATTGCTGGTGATGCACATGTTGGCTGTTTCACACCAAATGCACGTTGTGTTTGATGTTATTGCGTTTTGACATGCTTCACTCGAAACGTGTTTTGGACAATCTTCGGTTGGAAGTATGAGGTGATTGCATAACAAATTAACAAACAAAAGATAAGTGAATTACAAAACATATAACTTTAACCCGATGATTAAATGACTATTTCGTTCACTAGGAATTTGTGATCACCTCACGCAATGGGTAATTCAGCACACTTTTTTTGACATTCACATTTTACGACAACATTTTGGTTTTGGATGAAAATGCATCAATAATGAGCAACATTTTATTCAACGATTATTAGAGTCGATCTAAACATTAAATTATGAAATGATTCTCTCAGTTATCGAGATGGTATTTTTATGTCCTACCGCATGATAAAGTGAAAAATGTGTAAGATTACTCAGTCTTCATATTCTTTAGAACGAGATCATGTTCATGCAATGTCACTCACATTTCACGACAACACCTCGGAACTAAATGAAACTAAGTTGATTGTTCAACGACGATTATTGACGTGCGGATTCGGTAGATTTTGATGACTTTCCTCATTCGGAAATATATACACTATGCTATCATCTGGTTCAGCAAAGCCCACTGCATTTCATTTCTAACAGATTTCTAGTTTCATCCATTGATATCAATCTGATGATGAAAACGTGTCTCGTATACCGATTCAATAAGTGAAAACTGGAAAATAACATTGTGAACTCACTCACACTGACTATTTTGAAAACCGTGCAAGAAAGTCAGTTGTTCCCAAACAATAAATTGACTTATAATTATGTTAATTCGATCTAAATAAACAAATTTCAGTTGACCTATCGTTATGGAATGTTTCAAAATATGTGATCGCAATATACTCTGTATGCTGTTGACTAGTACGTCACACTAGTTTGATCATGAACATTCACCGATAGTGAGGACGTGAAAGACATTCGTCCTTCATCATTTTAAATAATCAACAGAGAATTCACGAATGGAATAGCGTAATTTGATACAAGTAGCCAAATTTCATTTAGTTGTATTCTGAAATTGCACATGAAATTTTCAATTTTTTGAAATAAAATTATTGTATTCAACTGTGAAAATAGTCGTTTCAGATACTATAAGGTTTAACATACCACCGAGCGCTTCAAACTCCACTAACGTTCCACTTCGGATCCATATTTTAGGAACATCTATTTCAGCTACTTTCTTATCTTGTGAAATAAAATTTACAGAAGAAAATAACTGAGATTTTGTTTAACGAGCAACTGTTAAAAAATGTGAACAAATTCTCGGAATAGTCATGATGAATATATATTCACACACCATCTTTATATTACTCAGTATACCAGGTTAGGCGTGCATCAGCAGACGTGGATCGTCAGATTCATTGTTTATGGGATTCAGCATATAAAAAAAAGCAACACCAATACGATTTCATCAAAACAACACAAATCGTTTTTGTGACACTAACAGTGATGACGGTTGTTCAAATAAAAACGCAGATACTCTATTTAAACTCAGATAAATTCAGTGGATCACTGTTCAAAAGACTTGACTAAAACACGCCGTTATCTCAGGACCAGTTTGCACCTTGAATAATTATCACATATGAAACTAAAACGTCGCTTCAAGATGTGTAAACACATCATCCACGTTGAATTTACAATTAACAGTAGTGTTTGAACAATGAAATTACCAGAAGCATTCAGATTTTCTTTCACACGTTTTTCATCTACACCTCAATTACACTTCAATCAATCGATTCTCTTACGTAACTACTGAATGATGTAGACTGTAAGAAAGATATATTAGATCAGTATGACAGAATACAGCACATTTTGTACTGACGTGGTGATCTAAGGGTACATAAAAAAGTTAATATTAGGCTAACACATGACTGCTTGTGTAGGCCAATTGTAATCAAAATGTAAATAACATTTGTTACCATTATCTGCGCAATCAAACCATCCGTAAATGCTCGATGGCTTTTCGGTTTTGCCAATCATCCTAGGAATCTGAAAAGAAGTAACGGAAGCCTGAGTAAACATCTGTCAACACACAACCACCTTTATCAAAGCCAACCAATCACTGAAGGAATGTGTCGTCATTCACATCACTTTACACAGAGACAACTAGTTACACATAAGTATACTGATCTCCTAACTTTCCTCAGGCGTGTGCCTCATCTAGTTTACGATGATAATCCGACTCACTTCAGTTGTCAACTTCACTGAAGTCCAATGGACGATTTATCCACCGTGCATTGATGCGCTACACTGTGAGATGAATATCTACGTCACTTGACCGAAATGTGATTGTGAACCATTGCAATACTGTTGCACGTGAATTTGTTGTCATGTGGAGGAATTGTGTTAATGTACTCACTTCCATTCATCAACGTAAAGAAAATCTCTGGAAACCTCAAAGCAATTAAAACGCATTCAGTTCAACACATTTGAAATTTTTATTCACACTCGCTTTTTCTTGTTACTACACATGATGAAATATTAAATGATGACATTCGAACAAATTCACACTGAGAAACGATCAAGGTTTTAACAATTTACCTCACAGATTATTTGATAATGAAATTTTTAATTAGCTGGACTTCAGAACACGTAGTAATGCTTGACAGAAAATGACTGTTTGAAAGCACTGTAAAATACACTGTCTTTAATCGGCTCAATGACGTCAGAATTTCTATCGATAACATTTGACTTCCTATAATTCATCGTTTTGAAAAAAGGACTAGAATAAAGTGTGTCATTAAGGGGTTATTAATAGAGTCGTATAGTCTGTGTACACGCTAAGAAATGTTGGTATCCTTCTATCGTGTTCAGTGTATCTTGATGCATTCGACAGTGTAGATTAGCGCAAAGTAGAATAATAATCCAAAATACATGAAAAAACACCACATTACTACTCAATTGTGCAACATACGTTCTCATAATAAATTGATATCTTCCCATTCGGATGTATCAGAGCAGTTATATTGAATGCAGGAACTGCAAGCAGAAGACCATCGTTATTTAGAATTTATGATAATAGGATTAGCAAGTGATTGTTAATTGCAAAGGAGCATGTGCCTACATGCAAAGTGATCAGTTTTAGGCAGGTATTTTCTTTGTTATTTCAAATGTCTTATTTGATGGAATTCGTAATAAATATAATTTAGTGAACGCCGTGTAAATGAAGCAAGCATGAATCCTTCGATATGAATGTCAGATAACTAATTTCCGAAGCTGCATTACAACCTCTTCTCATATCGAAATAATAAATCATCAAGCTTCTAATTAAATCTGATAGTTGAGGAGGTATTGACATTTGCTCAACACTTTCTATAATTACCCTTGAAAAAAGTCACCCTTGTGCATATGATATTAGCCATGCCTTGTTTGTTTACAATTAGAACATGGTAACTTATTCCATTATGCAACGTATTGGTTTATCAGTGTTTGGTAACGATGGAAATGAATAGCTTCAGATTACTCGTGTTGGTGATTTCCTAATTTGAATGGATAATTTTTACGAATGACCGTGCGATGAGTATCACAAATCTACTTATTTCAGAATACAGACTTCTGATCAAGCGGCAATGAAGCTTTTTGACCAAGATGAATCTCTGCATTCGTTTATCCACAAGTAAAATTAGTTCATGACCTAATCTATTCATACAGATGTATATATTACACGTCAAATCTAGTACGTTCATTATTATGTTAACTGTCCTCCAGGTCTCGATCAACGTATTCAAACAATCGATGGACTCCACATATAATTTCTGCCTTCCTAAATTTATGTGATGGTTACATATTATTTCTTTGATTACTTTTTGAAAAGGGTTCAGTGATATAAAATGACCAGAAAATGTGTAAGCAAGTACTGCGAATGATGATGTGAGTGTTTAAATATTTCATGTGTAATTAAATAATCATTTTATTGGTACATACTTGTAGCAACAGCTTCTGGATAAAAGGAGTTTCTGACGGCTAATAATTCTCCTGAAATGATGAAGGTAAAAATATTTTTGTTTTTATATATATGTATAACGACTACTCATAGAGAATGAGGTTAGACACGAGTTATCATCTTTCTTTCAAGATTTAAGTAAACTGATTCAGTTAAATGAGAGTTGCAAGGAGACTAATAACTATTTCAACGATATGATGAATGTTTGAATCCAACCAACTGAGAAGAATATTTTACTTCCGAAACGCTGATTTTAAAAGCTTTAGACAATTTAATAGACCGGTAATATCTAATTGACAGTACACATACGAAATCATTTTCTGAGATTTCGTTATTCCAATCGAACAGTGTTCCCTTTATTGAACTAATTATGAATCAGAAATTCTACTTGAATGTCAACAAATGCAATAACTGAACAAAATGAGTGAACTTCATCGATGTTGTAGTTTCTCCTGGTCGAATCATTTATGTTATAGCAGTGCACTATTTATGATAATTATGTATCATCTGTCATTATTATTACTGATGGCTGTTTTAGATCCATACGAATATGATAGACAAAAGTGTGATGAATACACAGTGGTTCACAGATAGTGACTAAGTGACATTCATTCTTCATGAAGTAAGTTAAGGAAAACAATCGGACGTCATCAAATTTAACTTGTTAGTCTATGTGATTTAATAATCCAAATTGATTTCTCACACAACATCGTTTATTATTCTAAATGTGTTCAGTTGGATTCGTTTGATTTATGATTACTACTCAATCAATTTGCGTTTATTTCGAAGTGAACCATCGTTTTAACTTGACAGTAATGAATACGTGTTTTGAACACATTTTGAGGCATCAAATCATACAAGCAAATTGATCACTGTGTACTGGTCAACTCCCGAAATATATTCAGGTCAAACTTTGAATCATTTATGCAAAATAAAAGTGAGAAATGAAAAACGAAGCAAATTATCACCGGATAATAAAGGTACTCACGCTGATTCGAAAATTCAGTTACCGTACGATAACCACTTCTCACATAATTTTTAATTCCTCCCAAGTACGATGCATCGTTCATAAAAATTCTACCTGTGTTTATGGAATAAAAACATGATATTTAATTGACAATATGAAAAAAATGAAATAAAGACTTTTAGATTAAATGAGGACAAAATGAGTTCCATGGGCCGTAAATAAATTTCTTTTAGGCTTTGAAATGTTTACAACTTGAATGAAATAATTATCAATGGACGTATTTAATTCTAGAAAAGGCATAAAACTGATTTACTAAATAAGTTAAAGAAATAATGGTAACGGAATGAATTGTGAATAAACAAAACTCGGTAACAGTTTTAATTTGACGAAAATTATTTTCTTACCAGTGGGAAATATTCTGAAATGCAGGACTTGAGAACCGTAGAATGTAAACGGGAACTGCGGATCGATATTCTGATAATAAGTAAACATATGAATTGAAAGGTCGTTGCAAAATTTATTCAACTCACTTTAGTTTCATTCAATCTTTCAAAACTGCCGCTAACAACTGCAAGAGACTGATTAGAGCGGATTGTCCGAGAATAATAATAGTGATGAGACTGAATATGTGTATTGGAAACGGACTGATTACTTACATAATTATATGCATCACTTTCAAAAATTACTTTTTCGTATTTCCTCAATTCAGGTTTTGTGCAAATGTCATGGCAGTTGAAGAATTTATGAATTATTAGGATGATTGAATAGACCAGTGTAAGCTGGCCAGTTGCATAGCTATGTCTGAAATGGTACAGATAAAAATAGGCAGCATTATTTGATTGAAAAAAAATGAAATTCATATAACACCCTCATTTGATTTAACTGTACATTGAACACTCACCTCATTTTCTCGTTCACAACGTTGTTAATTGTTATTACACCTTGTCGTGTTTAAATAAAGTTTTTAAGTGTTTGTTTGTTTCTTTCTTATTGGACGATCCAAAGTGATCATTAGAAACATCACGTTTCATAAAATCATATGATCATTTTTAACCATTCATCGTGAAAGACAAACTCATCGTAATGCAATATACTTCTAGCTGTTGTAGTCTAAAAGCTGACACTTATCCACTATTGATTGAAATTTCAAGACCTCTATTGATCAAAAATATTTTGGAAATGATTGGCAATAGTTTAAACTTAATGAGTGGTTTATATGTGGGTCAAAATGTGTGCTCATATTTGCACAAACAAAGACTTTGTTACTTGTAATTATTTGTGAACTGTTTACCAATGGTGCATTGCTTTGATTTGATTGGTTAAAATTCAAGTAACAAAACCTATCTTGATTGGATATATAAATTTGGATTTTTGCATCTGAATTTATGTTTAATGAAATAAATTCTGTCAGACGACTCCATCATCCTTAAATTTTGATTGTGACTTCCAAACAGTCACAAATAAGCCCATTTTACTGGCATATTGTACCGTTGGCTTCAAATAGATTTAGCGATCAAAATAGACAAAACGTTTCGTATTAATCAGGGAGAAGTGGACCTGAATGTGCTCGCACTAAACGTAATGATTTAATTACTGTTGGATGATTAAGAGTTTACACTTTCGTAAATGAATAAGAAACCCAAACTATTCATGATTTGGTTATAATTGCAGAACGAACTTGTTGGCAGTGTGATGGTGATTTTTGTGCTGCAAAAGAATGTTGAAAGTAACCAAAATATTGCTTCACATTCTGTGATCGAATAAACGGCTGTTGCTTTATTTTGAGAAATCATGAACATCAGAGTTGTTTTCAATTATACACTATTGTCTGGCCTAATATAAAATTATTATTATTCATTGTCAATACATGTAGTCGAAGTACTTTTAAGTATTAATGTAGTTTATTCACTAGGGTTTGATTAAAGTTCACTTTGGTGTTTGTTCAGTTCATCGTATCCACGGAAGCAATAGTTATGGGAATAGTGAACTGATACCTTAAAATCACTGTCAATTTCTCATAAGACAATTCTAATGCAATGTCAATGGAAGCATAAAGTTCTTCATATAAACAGGTTAAGTAAATATTTCAAGGTTGATAAAATTTATTCAGTACTATGTAGATTATTTATTGTTCGTTCTTCGTAAAGCTATTCTGATTAGATGTCACGGAACCTAATATTTTTCATATGAACAGCATTTGCATATGTTTCATGGTTGAGAAACAATTTGGTCAATATCACCTGAATGGTATTGAGTATGAACGAAGTTCATGTTCAGTAAGAAAGATTATAGTGAATAATACGCTCAGTTCAGAATTGACATGTTCACTTTTATCAAAGTAAAAGATAACGGATATCGATGAATGCAAAATTTATTACACACAGGTGTCATTACTAAAAGAGTCTAACTTATTGTTCATAGTCTGAATAAGGTTCAATCTCTTTGAGAAATGTGAATGAAGTTCAAAGTTTCCTTTAACAACTTTTGCAATATATCTCTTACTGATACGTCCGATTTGTCAGTTTTGAAGTCTGATTGCATTCTCGTCCGGCGTTTGATCAACATACCCTGATCCTCTTTTAAATTCAACTGAAAAATGAAATGTCCGAAAATGTCCACAAAAGGTGTTGAAAAGTGGCTGTCATTTTGTAGCACAGTTCGAGATAATTCGTACATAATAATTTGTAAGCCATAAATCGCCGTAAATTGTCTCATGAATCAGTTAGCGAATAATCACTGGTAATCACTGACCGTAAATGTCATAACAAAAAAGCAAGTAAACTTACAGATGACGTTTGAACAGGGTTTAACATAGCATTCTCTGAAAACATGTTGATAAATAATAATATGTCATACACGAATAAATCAAAGTAAATATGAAAGAGTTAAAGAAGCAGACAGAAATCACGACAATTACAAATGATACAGTGTTGTAACGTGGGACAATCTTACGAAATCGTACCATAATATCAGTTGTACGAGACAAATTATAGCTTATCATTGTCACAGGTGTTGCATTCTATTTTTAAATGTTTATTTTGATAAAGAGCATTGCAGTGATTCGTTTCTATTTGAAGAAAGATGATCAGAACATCTTCAGCAAAACCACTCCTTTGCCAACACTTAGTGAATAACAACCACAAACTGACTAAAAATACAACATTATTTTGATGCAGCAGTTGTGCATAGAAAATCTATAAATTAATGCAGCGAATACTGAACGACAGATACAGACATTTTGATTTTGATTCATTTCATTACGCAACAACAACATTCAAATGGTTTGACTGTCAAACGTTGAACAACAAATGAATAAATGGCACAGTCATTTTTCACTATAATCCATTTCTACAATTTTGCTTCAAGATGTGTAAGTACATCATCCACATCATTCATTATACTTCAGAAATCTACTTTGTGTGGAATTTCGGTGCAAAGGTTTTTTCTAGATTCCAGACAAGCCAATTTATTCACCGTTCTTGAGTCACATTTTGACCTTGTTAGTTATTCGCTTAATAATCCTGACTGTATATGTATGATCGTGTGTGCTTGTACCGTTTACCCTACCCATCACATATTTGACTATTATTATCAAACAAAACTTGATTAAGTGGAGTTGACTTACATGTATACTTCAATGCGCGTCACTTCACTTCGTTTAGTCGGTCGTTTATGTGCATCGGTGATTGCATGAAGCAAACTTATTCGGAATCCATTCTCGTATTTGACTTATTTAATTCCGTTGTTTGCCGTCTTTCTACACTCATCCACGTAGTCGAGGTGATTTTGTTAACATTCCATTCATTTTCTCGTTCCGCATCATCTTCTATTATATCTGTGAATGCCTTCAATTATCATAAGACTTTGGAATGGATTGATCATTTTTATTACGTTCTGGACCATTCATCACATAAATGGTTTAATTAATATCTCGCATGTTTGAGAAATTATGACTATTGCATTAGATATTCGACGCCACATTACTAGCCGATAAATAACGATTGCGTTCATCTTAATAATTCGTCCACATATAAAACAGCATGCCATTAACCATAAACGTTTTCAGATTACTTCAATTAATATACTATTTACTAAACAGTGTACGGCAGAACATGTGGTTTAGAGCTGACATTTCAAAGGCGCACACTTGATCACCACATGAAAGTCACGTTTGCCCAGCCGTCAGGAATTATCTTATTTGTTGGTATATTTATACCGCATTAGTACGGTTTGTTAACAAACGAGGTCGCGCGGATATCGCTCAAACGACATAAACTACTTTAAACTTCAGTAACAAAACGGAGTACAATTCCGTATATCTCGTCTTCATAATCACATTGTGCTCTTCTGGTTATTCTTCTAATACACACTCAACGATAACTCAATGCACCTATTTATGACGCACACAAAATCGTTCACTGACCTCTCATTTCACCATTAGTATAAATTTCAGTACAACAATGAATTTCACACATCAACATAGTTATCATTTTGCGGCTGGATTATTTTCATCCTACATATACTCAATGTGTGTGAATCCGAATACATTAAATGCTAATCGATGCTGCCCAATCTACTACGACTTATTAGAAAATTTTCATATTCCACGGCATTTTATCCTCATGTTCAGTCAGAATCACAGACCAATTCGCGTGAGATTCTACATTACTTATTTCCACAATTTATTCCACTATCACACTCATGAATTATTCATTTCTCTGTTTTAACGGTATTTCGAATTCCTCATACAAACATGTAATTTTATAGTTGAGACAGTCATAATATGAATGCATGTGAAGGTTTTGTACGTTTAAAGATTGCTGGAAGTCGCATGTTACCATTCATTTATTTTTTACATAAGAATGGAAATGCAATATGAAAGACCAACCACACACATGACGCTGTAATGTACCAGATAAATTACAAGTTATTCACAGTAAATATTGATGAACAATTCCGCATACCGTTTCAGAGCTATTTTACAAAACAGACATGTTTTCAAATAAATGTGCTATTCACACAACGAAGGGAATATGTAAAAATTGGTTGTTATGTTAAAAATACATCGATCACTCGCCATTGAAGTGGTAAGGGAGTCGAAAATATTAGGGTCACAAAAGCACAAATATGACGACGGTTACACACACTCGGAAATAGAATGTTCCGGGCGGAAGATACATTTGGATCGAATTTCTCCAATTAACCTAATGATGCAAAGGACTTTCAACTAGATGCACCTGAGAATTTGATCTATAAAATTGTGAATTTCGTTGGATTTTCATAAATAAAAATAACATACAACAACGTTCTATCATTCTTGCTACACCCTTTAGTATTTTCGCAGTAAAATCTATTGTTCTCTTATCTCAGTGTAAATAATCTTACCATTTTCTTAGCAAAAACATATTTCTGTTGACCTCAATTCTTTACAGTAATATCAATGATTATATTTTGTTGTTGTCTATCACCGCATTCCATCTCATTGATCAAATAATATGGTATTCTATGTTCTTTATTATGTATAGTGAGCGTAATATGAATATTATTTAGAGTTAGAAAACATCGCTTTCTAATAAAACCTTGTGTCTTATTGACTGACATCCCTGTATACACTCAATGTAAGTATGAGTGAAAATGTCATTCAACAAAAGATTACTACTTCGCCAAAAGTACAATAAATGAAAACCAATATTTAATGTCTAGTCATTTATGTATAAACACTTTAACAAATTACGTCTAATTTCAAATAACTTTTGTGGGTCCTTTTCATTGGAGTATCTAGTTTACACGTTCTTAGTTTA